CAAATCATGGTTCAACTTGCATCATGTTCCAGAGTTACAATATCAAAGTAATATAACTACGTGATTAAAAGAAAAAGTGTTACAAATATAATTAATAAATTACTTTGAAAAATCCTATAAAAATAACTTCCTATATTTCAAAGTGTCTAGTTATTACATGTATGCTTTTACTTTTCCGGTGGCAAGCCAAAAAAATTATTGATAAAAGTATGAGCTAATTGAGATGCGAGATAATTTGTGCTCACAATCGCACTTTAGTTTAGTGAATGAGAGACCACCATTCAAAATATGGAATTGGAAAAGAAGGCCAACAAAAAAAGAAACTTGGCCTAATAAAAACCCCTTACACTTGACTTTCCACTTAGAAAGAATCATTCACCAAAACAACACAAATCCTAAAGGCAAAAGAGCTTAACTAGGCAAAGAGTGAAACGTCAAAACCACCTTGCATCAACAAATAACTAAACCCCTCTCAAACAAAACAATAAAAGACCTTTCACCTACTCAAAGTACATCAAATGCAAAAGGAAAGGTCAAGAGATCTAGAGCTCTCAATAAAATAATAAGCACGGGGAAGAAAATATAAAGCTAGACATTTGTAAAGATCGAAGCTTTTGAAGCAAAAAAGTAACTATCAAAAGCTAAAGTCATAAATGTGACACCAATTTTGAATAAAGGTCTTAAGTTTGATAGATCTAATTATAAAAATGAACATTATTAATCCAACGTGAGGTAATTGTTTCGAGTACATTCTGGTCACTAAGATCAAATAAATAAATAAAGCAAAAATGTGGTCATAACAAAATCGGTTAATATTAGACTGACAAATCAATTAAAAAACTTATTTCAAAAGCATCTCTCAAACGTTATCACGCAAGAAAAAAAATTTGTATGTCACATGTATCTTCTTTAAAATACAATCTTGTTTGAGAGACACTCGAACACTAAATATGTTATCTCTGGTAATTCTTTAAATTTTGACTCGCCACATTAAGAGGGACTATATAACTCTATTTACTATACCTAACACCCTTGACACTTTAACTTAATAAGAGCTCTACAACAAGCTTAAATAAAAAAACTCTAACATTACACTCTTCATCTTCTCCGATGAATTGAACGTTGAATTCTTTATCTGTCTCCAATTGAAGCTTCAAATATTCTTGAACAAAATTAGTGTATCAACACTTGCCTTTGGCTATTATCCTTGTGTTTACGGTGAAAACACGTTTAAGGGTTCTTTTTACTCGAACTAGCACGTAAATGGTTTCAATTTAGGATTTTTGATTTAAGAACAGGAAAATGAGTGAACAACTTTAGTAATTACTTGTTTCCAAAGATTCTTCCATAATTAACAAGCAATAATTTTCATACATATAAATACTAAGATGAACAGAATGAATAATTAAGATACTTGCAATACAAATCATGGTTCAACTTGCATCATGTTCCAGAGTTACAATATCAAAGTAATATAACTACGTGATTAAAAGAAA